GGACCTGGCCGGGGGCCGGCTGCCAGAGGGGCTGCTCCAGCAGGACGCACAGGTCCGTGTAGGTGAACCAGCTGCTCTGGGTGCCCTGCTTCTTGGCCACGCTGCGGGGAAGCAAAGCGCTCAGGTGTCTGCTCTGGCCACAGACCCTCCTGCTGACGGCCCCCTGCCCTGGGCGGCCCCCAGAGCCACGGAACAGAACGGCCACACTGGCTCAGACCACAGGCCCATCCAGCCCAGGCTCCCGTTGGCCACCAGTGGCCAAGGCCCGGTGCCCCAGAGGGAGGGAACAGAACCGGGAATCCTCCCGTGGTCCCTCCCGTCGCCCACCTCCTGGCACACAGGCCAGGGACACCGCCCCCCCCAGCCTGCCTACCAGCCATTGCAGGACCCACCCCCCATAAATGGATCTGGCTCTTTTCCGAGCCCAAGGAGTTCCGCAGGAGTGAAGAGAAGCTGCCTTGGGTCTGTTCAAACCTGCCGCCTGCTCATTTCACCGGGTGACCCCGAGTTCGTGTGTTGTGGGAGCAAGTCGGTCACGCAGAGCACACTCAGCGCAAGCCCTGGCCGAGAAGGAGCTGGCTCCCCCCTCCCCCGCCTGGCACGTCAACTGCCCTGAGCCCTGCCCGGGAGGAGGTGCAGACCTGCCCAGGTGGGTGATCTGGGCCCCAGGACACGCTGTGGCTCGCACCTGGAGCTGCGTGGGCAAGCACAGCCAGTGGGGGGGGAGCACAGCGGGGCAGCCCTGGGACCAACGCGGGCATCAGCAGACCCGGGCATGGCACCGAGGCGCGGTACCGCCTTAGGGCCAGGCCCCCGGCTGGGACACTCCTCCCTCCCGCACGGCTCCAATCTTACCGGCCTTCCAGCCAGCTCAGCACGTCAAACAGCTCCTTGGGGTCGGTGTAGAGGCTCCAGTCCTGCAGGGAGGGAGGGACTGGTCAGACTCCCAGCCCCCGCCGGCCTGGGCTGAGTGGGGTTGGGAGGGGCTCAGTGGTCCTCCCATGACAGTGAGCCGGTGAGACAAATTCCAGCTCCTTTGCCCCATCTCCCAGCAGGGCCGGGGGCTTTGCAGCCTGTGTCCCATCCCGGCCCCAGCTGGAGTTCGGCTGGGCTCCTGGACAATTGCTGCCTGGGAGCAGGAATCCCAACATAGAACGGCCAGACTGGCTCAGACCAAAGGCCCGTCCAGCCCAGGGTCCCGTCTGCCAACAGCGGCCAGGGCCAGGTGCCCCATAGGGAGGGAACAGAGCAGGGAATCCTCACGTGATCCCTCCCATCACCCACCTCCAGGGAAACAGAGGCTAGAGACACCATCCCTACCCAGCCTGGCTAACAGCCACTGAGGGACGTAACCTCCAGGAATCTATCTAGCTCTTTTTTGAACCCTGTTCAAGTCCCGGCCTTCACTGCATCCTCTGGCGAGGAGTTCCACAGATCGATTGTGCGCTGAGCGAAGAAAAACTTCCTTTGGTTTGTTTTAAACCTGCTGCCTGTTCATTTCATTTGGTGCCCCCTAGTTCTTATATTGTGGAAATAAATAACTTTTCCTTATTCACTTTTTCCACACCAGTCATGATTTTACAGACCTCTCTCATATCCCCCCTTAGTCTCCTCTTTTCTAAGATGAAAAATCCCAGTCTTTTGAATCTCTCTTCATATGAGACCTGTTCCAAACCCCTCCTCATTTTTGTTGCCCTTTCTGAACCTTTTCCAGTGCCAAGAGATCTTTTTGAGATGAGGCGACTACATCTGGACGCAGTATTCCAGATGTGGGCGTCCCATGGTTTTACAGCGAGGCAGTAAGATATTTTCTGTCGTATTCTCTAGCCCTTCTTTAATGATTCCGAATATTCAGTTTGCTTTTCTGACGGCAGCTGCACACTGAGTGGCTGTTTTCAGAGAACTGTCCATGATAACTCCAAGATCTCGCTCTTGAGTAGTTGTAGCTAAATTGGTCCCCATCAGACTGTATGTCTAGCTGGGATTATTCTTTCCAATGTGCGTTACTTTCCAATTATCAACAGTACATTTCATTTGCCAGTTTGTTGCCCAGTCACTGAATTTGGTGAGATCCTTTTGAAGCTCTTCACAGTCTGCTTTGGTCTGAACCGTCTTGAGCAAATGATCCCAAACTGCTCATTTTGCCACCTCCCTGTTTGTGCCTTTTATCCCCTTGGTGCTGCTCCCGCCATCGCTATGTGGCGGCACGAAGGAACGTGCTGCTGCCCGGGGCAGCCCAGGACAGCCACAGCTAGACACAAAATGACCAGGAACCAAGGCAGGGCTGGAGGGGAAGGGGGGAGGGGAATTGTGCCTCCCGTGAGCTTGACCAGGGAGGCAGATCGCAGGCTGGACAGCACCAAGGTCCAACGAGCTGCTGCAAATGCTACAGTCCCACGACGGAACCAACTCCGCAGCAACTCCCGCTGGGCTTCCCGCAGGGGCCAGCCTCTGCCAGCCGGCGCCCTGGCACATCCCCCCTTCTGCACTCCAGCCACTGCTATCCTCCCGGCAGCCCGCC